ACCAACAAAATGTAAAATTTTAAAACCAAAAGCTGAATCTTTATTTTTGACTAAAGCTATGAAGCCTAGGAAATGCAGAGCAGACCATCTGAGACCACCCATTTTTCAGAATTCCTTTCAGTCTCCAGGGAGCAGAAGAGTTAATAAGACACATGAAGCTTGTTTCAAAAGTATATTTTATGTTGATATAGATAAATGTATCCAGCAAAGGAAAAGTTTGCATAACAATTAATGTAGATGGTACAATAGATACAGTATAAAATACTTTGGAGTTGGAGTGTTGAAGATGTCCTATATATATACCACCACATTTGTATTGTTAGATTTTTTTCTTCTCCTTTTTTTCAATAAGTCTTCATTTAAGCTTTAGTAGCCAAATTCTGCCTCAATTCTTTTGTTTCTGTGAAGTGTCATTGCTCCCAAGAGTACTCTTCAGGTGTGAGAATCCACAGAAGTTTCTATCTAATTTTGAAAACTACTTTGTGAGCTTTCAGACTCAGAGCCTCAGGACAGGTTTTGCTCAAATATTAGATGTTATTGGACCTTGTATACTCAGGGTCTGTGTTCAAAAGGCCTTTCCCAATCCTCATTTCAGATATCACTCCCCACAAGGAGGAAAACATAGGTGTGGTGCTGGCATTTTTTTTTTTTTTCAGCAAACCAGAAATGGATTCTCAGCATCGCTAAAGTTTTCATTTCTCTCTACAATTATACAAAATTATACTGTGACCTAGCAGTAGTGGTTAATGTGTAAAATGTGTTTTTGTGGCTTGCTGAACACATTTGAAAGTAAATAACTGCTTGTTTTTCATAACAAAATGAGCGGTTTGCTGCAGTTCGATGACTCAGGACAAAATAATGGATCTTGGAATCACTTATTGTCCTGTGTTGCCAGTGTAAATCTGGCCAAGACGCATAATGGCTGGAAGTTCTTGCAAAATTAGTGTCTGCTCAATGCCTTACATAAGATATATACTGCCTGAGGAGAGACAGCCAAGTCACAAATCTTACCACTGTCATTGGCACCCATACTGGCGATCTCAGAAGAAGTCAACTTTCTCAATGTCATGAAGAATGAGGCGATGTCTCCAGGTCAGGACTGTGAGACAGATTGTTATTGAAAGTTTGAAGGGCTCTTGCATTTCCATTTGGAGCAGCTGAGGGGGAAAATGAACTTTTAAGATAGAACTTGATCAGTTCATGAAAATAATTGTATGATATGACTGCATGCCACAGCAGAAAAATGGGCGTAGTGACAGAGCAAATAGTTCTGCAGTTATCATCCTGAGTGTTATTCTGTGGGTAAAATATAAAAGAACAAAATCATCAGGATTGTCAAGGTAGCACCTTTTTATAACTGAACTTCACAGTTATTTTTGTATCAGCAATTCCTTTAGTATAACGGAACAGAATGTGAAAAGGCAAATAATATTCAATGAGTTCTGTCAGTCAAACCGGCAATTCCATACAACCTTTTAGGCAAACTGCTAAGGGCACTTTACTATCAAATAGAATAAAAGCCAAAAATAAGATTAAATGCCAAGTCAAACAAATACATCTTGCCAAAGTCTCAAAATCATATGAATAAGGACTAAGGAGTTCAGCAGATTGGAACAAAATGCTTTAAATAAGTCTTAGTCTCCAAATATACCTGTCAATATGGAGAAAATTTAATAAATTACCATAGCAGGATTGAGAAGTGCATGCCAGAATGTGAGGAATACAAAGGCTCTGGACTGTGCCTGCACAGAGTAAGTCCACCTGTCTTGCTCATTTGTTTATTCTAGGTGTAGGGGCAACGGCAGTGATTAGGTTCAGTGGAGTAGGCGCTAGCCGACTGCCTGTTTCTTGCAGCTTCTTCTTCTTTTCTTCTAAAAACTGAAGAAGAGTCTTTGAAATCCTCAGAATTAAAGATACAATGGAAGTATAAAACCAGACCCATTTTTGAGAATGCTTGACCTCATTCAATTCTTATTCAGAGATACTCAAGAGAACCAGAGGTACACATCTTGCTGTTTTGGTTTTACCGGTTTCATGAGGGTGAAGCTCCGAGGGAAGGTGTAGCTAAGCAGACCATCCTGGGTCATTCAGCTGATTTTAAAAAATATTGTTCTAATACCACCGTATGGAACAACTCCGTGCTGCAGTGACCTGGATTTTCAGTTGTCATTGAAGCCAAGAGTTTTCTAAATGCTTGCAAGAGATGATAGACTAAAACCACTTGCTACAAATGAAGCCCATGAATGCTTCTTGCTACAAAGGCCAGTTCAGGTTAGGGCAGGATTTTTCTTACTGTAGTCTGAAATCCACACTACAGACAAAGGTGAGGACTGCCTAACAAGACCATATCACACCCATGGAGCTACTGCTGCGGCAGAAAGCTTGATGAATTTCAGAGGCAGGACATTTTTGAAGTACCTCCTGCTCAGGAAGGGGCAAAGTTTTGTGTTCCTAGACTGAAGGCAAACTCCCACACGCACACTATTTTTTTTAAATGAAGCATAATAGAAGTTCTGTAAATGTAAACTTTCTTTTGCACAGAAGCAACCTAAAATGGAGACAACATATGTGGTTTGAATTTCCAAACCAAACAGTTCAGAGATCCTCCTCAGAAGAAATATAGTGTCTCAAGGGCAGTGTATATTTTGATTGCTTCGTCTTCTGAAAGTTGCAGCTAAGGTATACGACAGAAAAGTTTAAACCTACAGAAGTCAACAAAAGTTTTCCTGTTGATTGCACTAGAAGCAGATTCAGTGCACACACCATTCATGAATTGAACAAATGGGTCCTAAAAACTCAGACTGGCTGCTTAAAAGATTAAGCAAATAAAGGAATAAAGTCACATAAGCTGTTTCTGTGAGTAAAAAGGCTGTGGGTTACAGGATTAATTTTTTATAGTATATCTCTATACCCTGAATAACCAAGTAAGCCTTAGCTTGTGGAATCTTAATAACCATCTCATTGCTGAAGTCTAAAGGAAACCCAGAGGAAACTTAATAATATTAAAAGTTATTTTAAAGGGAGTTCACATTGGTTTGAAGGGTATTTTGCTTCGCACACAATATCCACCATTGTAAATTCAGAGAACCTAGATTTAAATTCAGAAACCTCCACACATTTTTACAGTCCTCAGTATATAAATCTAATAGTATTCTTAAAATGTCCACCAGTAAGGTATTAATCTTTTACAGATAAAATTAAAATTCTGAAGGTCATTGGAACAAAAAATAAAGAAAAATAGTAAAAATATTCCCTCTAGAAATGAGGGGAAACTTGGAACTTTGCGGTAAGAGGCTAGTTTGTCCATGTTGCAATGAATAGAGAATAGTCTGTACAGTTTTTTGTATCTGACTTGCAAGAGAGGATTGGAACATATAGAAATTAACGTTACTGAATTATTTAATAGTAACTCAAAGACATGAAAAGAAGAATTAAAGAAACACAAGGTTAAAAAGCCATTTAAAACAAAATCAGAAGCTTCAACAAATATAGTTTTCCCTTGCAGTCAAAAATGAAATTATCAAAATTGTTCAGAATATGTTGCCAATTACTCTGCTCCATAACTGCTAACTTTCTCAGTTCTTCTCCTGCCTTTGCTGGGCTCTCTGTCACTGGAAACATCTTAAACCAATTTAAAGTGCTACACCTGAATAAACATGTTGTAAAAGTGTTTATGTATTGAAGTGGGTCAGTTCAAGGTATGGTATTTGGCTGGAACTTCTAATTTCTCTTTTACTGCAAAAGGGCTGCCAGAAGGAGGAAGTCTGAGCTGAATTAATACATTTGTTACAGTGGAAGTAGAATGGAAACTACTTTAACCACAAATCAAACTGCCTCTTTCATTTACGCCAGTGATAGAGTTTTTCTAAGAAATATAGACTCTGGCATACAGCCACTGTAAGTTTGTGTTTGAAAAGGAAATCTATGTGCTTATTTCTATAGGGTTTACTCCTATGCTTATTTGCAAGTTCTTTTCAGGATGATTGAGTTAACGGCATTATACATTTGTGAGGCAGATGCTCCTTCCTTGCCCATGCAGCAAACATTTCCAGTTGGTTGAGAAGAATTCCCAGGCTCCCTGATGCCACGCAGCGCAGGCGGTGCCTGTGCCCCTACCTTCCCGTTTAAAGGACCTCTGTGTCCCCCCACCCAGCACAGCTGCACAGCTTCACATGACACTGTCTCATTTTCTGACGGTTGAAGGGCTCTGCATAATACACGTACGCACAAAAGTGTTTATGCTGCCAAAATAAATTCTGTTAAGAGGAAGGGTTTATTTGCTAAAATGTCACTGATGCAGTTTCAGTGACTTGTTTTGCTTTCTTTTCTTTTACTGAGGTTTAGATCCTATAATATAGGGAGGTTAACACACAGTCCTGACTGAACAAATATTTTAAAGAAATATGCACATCCCCTGGGAACAGAACCAGAGTCCATAATGTACATATTTCAAACTCTGTTCTCTTGAACGACTGAATGCCTTCCTACCTTTACTACTGAATGAACATCAGTTTGAATAACACTGCACAATATTTATTTTTAAAGCAGAAGTATATTTATTATCTACACTTTTTTTGCTACTGATTTGCTTTGGGGATATAAGGTTCCATATCTCACACTCAAGTGACGCAAAAATTAGATGACCACATTATCCTCTTGATAGCCTATAGACTTCAATGGAGCCCATGTATTTTTCAATTCCATACATGTGTACATGAGACTGAATTAAAATTTCTGAGTAAGATAAGATATATGGTACACAGACACTGCAATTTTATGCAATGACAAACTACCTGTAAAGCTGGTGAAAAATTTGTAAATTGTTTAATTTTTTGTCATTTAAGTTCTGTTCCACAAAATGCCTTTAGAATTCTTAATCACATAAATTCAGGATTGTGGGCAAAATCCTTGCCATGCTTCAGTCAGCAGTTGAACTCCTGCTGTGAGTTCAGGAGGGGCAGAATTTCATCTCTTAACTTACGATTTCCATTACCTTATAGGTCGGAGTATCAATGTTAAATCTGCTGGCCTGATTGGAAGACATGGGCCTCAGTCAAAGCAACCATTCATGGTTGCATTCTTCAAGGCAAGTGAAGTGCTTTTCCGTTCTGTCCGAGCAGCTAACAACAAAAGGAAAAATCAGAATCGCAACAAATCCAGTAGCCCTCAGGAGTCTTCTAAGATGCCGAGTGTTGGGGGTAAGATGAAGCTATGTTTTACTCGTTTGTTTAGAGGAGTTATGGGCAGCTGCTCAAATGCAGTGGAGTCACAGCAGCTTAACAAAATACAGCTCCTTGGCTGAACTGTCAGAAACTGTGTTCCTACTCCATTTCTACCTCCAGCTTTGCTTAAACCTCTTTTGTTATGCTGGCCCTGAGCATGATCTACCTTTTGTGAGTCAGGTCATTTACATGTCTCATATGTCTCCTGGGCTCCTGGGTGGTGAAATGCCCACCTAGTTTGGGAAAGGCTGCACCTGACCTTGAAACTAGTTCTACATAGTAGACAACTGGAAGAGATCTTTGCTACGCATGACAAAAAGGTAGAGAGAGTAGAGAGAAGGGTTGCACCCTAATTGCTTGTTGAGGAAGACTCAGTTTTGGACTCTTTTGGGCTCTTGTTTAAACGCATCTCAGCTGAAGAAGCCAAGATGTAACACAAACATCTGAATACTGGAAATGAAGAAACTTAACCAATCTGTGAAATTGTAAACTGTTTATGAGCTCAGACCAGCTGACACATGCTGATGTCAATACAGAGTGTATCCCTGAACGGGAGTGAATTTGATCCCTTATTTACCTGAAAAGAACTGACAATAATGCATGTGAAAATATTGTTAGTCCCATTAGAACCTGAAGTAAGTCTTGCTGCAATTCTTTCCTGAAATGCTCCTTCAGCTGGAGGTACAAAGTAACTTTCTAAATATTCTCATTTTTGAACAAACATTTCTACTTTTCAGGGACAGGATGTGAAAATGTGTCTTTCTACAAGCATGGCAGAACTAGTACCAGCATATCAAAACCTCAATATAGATGATATTGGTAAACACTGTGAATGTCTACAAGTTAGCAAACTAGTATTTAGTGGAAAGAATTCAGCTCTGGAGCAGAACACATTTGAGGAGAACACATTTGAGGAGAACTATTATGAGCATTATGCATTACTTATATCCATCTCAGAACCTTGAAAGTGACAGACTAGAGATCCCTCTAATGCAATTCATAGACCTTTTCCTGATCTGCACAAGGATGAATTTTGCCTTAACAACCACAAACCACTACTGAGTTGCTAAAGAAGTAACAGAAACTGTTTGAATAACTTATATTTCTAAACTTATTTACAGTTTAACTGGTGATCTACTAGAATAAAATCCCACTTTAAGGTTAAAAATTAGTATTAAAACATTTCCTGAAAAAAATAAGTTTTTAAACTACTGTTTTAGTAGTGGGCTCAATTTTATTTAAATATGATGTATAGGTAGATGGTTGCAGATACATGTCTGCATATGAAACACAGAGCGTTATATCAGGTGTTCTGATGTGACCATTCATCCACTGCTGGTTAACCTATATTCAAATCATTCAGAGTACTAAGACAGTGAAGACATCTATGTGATAACTTATATATTTATTATTCAGCCTTTCTCCTCTAACTGTAGGGACTTCTGCTACATTCTGGTGCTAAAATTTCTGTACGTATTCTTAAATATGGAAATGTCATGACTGATAGAAAACTGTCAAAAGCACGATCTTCAGCTTTCACTTGTTTGCCTGCTTGGGTGTTATCTAAAACCAGATTGTGACTTTCCTGACTTTCTCATATGCATATCTTTACCACATTTTTCAGTCACAGTATTTTGCAAAGTGACTTGCATTCTGTATGACTGAATTTTAAATTTCCATTAATAGCTGAAACAGAAAAGCTAAATATTTACCTCCTGTGACCAGTGATAGTAGTCAAAATCAGTATACAGTTCCTTGTAAAGAGTGATCAGTGAAACACAGTTGTTTTTTTTTTTTTAAGTTAAAGTTCTCTAACTCTCCACTACCTTCTCCTTTCTTCTAATGTGTGTGAAGGACATACTAGATATTATTACAGACAACTGAGCACAAAGGATGACTTGCCTTGCTTCCAGGGGCTACTCCAGAAAGACACAGGGCTTCCATAGGATGTGGGTATTTTGACCCCATATGTCCAGAAGCAACTGAGAGTATCTGAGATGGCAGCAGGTAACTAATTACCTGTGGAGAACCTTTAATAAGTGTCACTGAGAATCAGCCCGTGAAGGGCTAGAAAAATACCATAGGAAAGAAGGTAGTATTCATCTTCAAAAAGCAATGAGGATTTGGGGTATTACAGCTTAGAAAGCCGAACTTAACATCCCTGGTGGTACTTGAGCAAATTATTTAGTCCTGCAAATGTATACATCTTGACTTGTGCACAGCTTTTGACAGTTTCCGGAGACATATTGAGGCATGGGTATACTCAACAGAAAGTGGGTACATAGCCCATTAAAAAAAAAGAACATGCATGTTCAAAGGGCATGTTACCAATAAGAGTAAAATTTGGGTGGGTATTTTGAATGACATCTCATTGAGTGTCTTCTGGATATGATTCAGTCCAACATTTTATTGTTAATTTGGATGATTGATCACTCAGATCTTGTATCCTCTGTGAACTTGCAGAGAGCACACTGTGCTATTGTCCAGGTTACTAACAAAGACATTAATCACTATTGGCACCAGTACTGATCATTTAGGGACACCCCTAGCAACTGGACTTGTACCACCAATCAAAACCCTTTAGGCCCAGCAGCCCAGACAAGTTTCCACACATTACATTCCTTACCTATCCAAGCCGTATCTGAACCAATTTGGTTATAAGAAAACAACAGGAGACCATATCAAAAACCTTTCTCAAAGAAAAGTGAACAACACCCAGTGCTCTTCACAAGCCCACAAAGCTAGTCAGCTCATCACAGAAAACCATCAGGTACAGTTTGGCCTAGTAAATCCATGCTGACTGCTCCCAAACACCTTCTTGTTCTTCACATGCCTGGGCACAGATTCCAGAAGGATTTGCTCCACAGACTTCCCAGAAGCTGAGTTTAAGCTGATTGCCCTTCTTGAAGACAGGTGTGACATTTTCCATTTTTGAAACATCAGAAATATCCTCCAGTCACTATGAAGACTGAAAAAAGGCAAGGGATTGACTTTGCAGTGATGTTGGTCAGCTCATTCCCCACCCTGAAATTTACCCCTTCTGCTCACATGGACTCCTGTATCTTCAATCTGCTTAAGTGGTTTCTAACTCTATTTCTTTTACTGTGGGTAGAGCTTCAGTCACTAGGCTCAGGGACTTGGGAGTCCTGAATGTAAATCTTGCTAGTATAAAACAAGACAAAGAAGTCATTGAGTACCTTCACCTGTTCTGAGTCTTTGTCACTAGGTCCTCTTCCCTACTGAACAATGAATCTGTATTTTTCTTAGGTTTTGGGGTGGTGTTTTTTTTTTGTTGTTGGGTTTTTTTTGGTTTTTTTTTGTTTTTTTTGCTATGAATATACCTATAGAAGTCCTTCTTGTTGACCTTCGTATCCCTCACAAGTTTTAATTCCAGCTAAGCTTTGGCTTTCCTAACATTCAACCCTGCATGCTCAGGCAATGTGTCTGTATTATTTCTGTATAGCTCATACAAATTCCACGTTACTTTTACTTCTTATTTGAATTTGAGCTCAGTCAAGAGTTTCCTATTCAGCCACAGCGGCTTAATGCAAACCTGCTTGACCTGCACATGACAGTAGACTTACCTTGTGCTTCTCTCAGAGGTTGTCCTGGAAGATCAACCAACTCTCCTGGGCTCATTTGCCCTCCAGTACAGTATCCCATGAGATCATGTGCAGAAGATCTCTGAACAAGCTAAAATATGTCCCCCTGAAGTCCAGGGCTGCACTGCTGTTGTTAATCTTGGTCATCTCTCAGAATCTTTAACTCCACCATATTATGTTTACTGCAGCCCCATCATGTGCAGTTCTCATCAACATTCTCACTCCCAACCTGTCCTTTGTTCATTGACAAGCATAAATACAACACAATCCTGAAACAACTAGAAGTTTATCAAAAAAGGATCTGAAGTTGATTATTTGACAGTGTGGTTTTGCTGCAAAACTCCTGTTACAGGATATACTGCTAGAAAATAATCTTGAAATCACAGGAAATAATTATTTTACTTGGCTTGGCATTGTGTTCAGTTTTGGCCATCATGTCTTCTGAAAGACACAGAGACACTGAAGAGAACCCAGAGAAGCAATGACAGCACAGATCAGGACAGCTTACAAGAAGCAGTTGGTAAATTTGCAGAAAAGCTTGTTTAGGCCAGGTATTTGGAAGAGTTTTCTGCAAGGATGGAGAAGCATTACAATGGGTTATCTCACAGACTGTAGAACTCCCTGTCTTCTAATTTTATGTGAAAAAGCCCTCTCTCTTAATTTTCCAGGAATTTTAAAAGGACAGCCTTCCATCTCTGCCTCAAGTCTTTTAATGTTAAAAAACTGTTCCTAAAAAAAATTTTCTATTCCTGAAAACTAAGATTTTGTTTCTTTTTCAGTGTCTTCCTTGCTTTGCTTTGTTTTGCTTTGTTTTGTTTTGTTGTGCATTTCAGTCAACTTTTTTTTTCTCCTGCCAGGATAGTTATTTTGGTCCAAAAAAGCCACTTTTAGCGTTCTTGAAATGGAACCAGAGGAAACAGCCTGCCCTCCAGCACGTCCCTAACTGATGGCATCACCAGAATAGCACTGAAAACCAACTCTGGGGTGCTAATGTGGTGAAGGCATGACCCTATTCCCTTCCTTTCCTGTTACTCAGGGGCAATAAGGAACAAGTACTACCTTTTCTCCAGGACTGAAGTTGTCCTGGAGAAGCACGTATGGAAGGTTCTATGTGTATTTTTATCCTGACACATCTCTGACAGTGCAGAAACATTCAGGCCTTTAAAAAACATCGGTTAGTCTGCTTGTTTACATCGGTAACACCAACTAAAGATCATCGAGTGGTGAATATTTCCAGAAAACATGGAGCACAAAATGTGCTAATGTTTAAATAACAAACTTCTGGAAATTCTGTTGTTTCAGGACAATTTTTATAGTTGTTATCTTTTGAGTTGTGCTTCTTTACCTGGCAATTAAACCTCTGCCAACATACAGATGATTTCCCTGTATCTTGGACAAAGTTCTCACTTGTCCTCCTTTGATTACCTGTGTGCATATTGTCAGTGTTGTTACCTAGGGAGCCAGCAAACAGACATGTAGTAAACCTGTTTCCCCTAATGCTGAATGCATCCTTTCTGCTGTGTACACAAATTGTATCACGTTGACACTGCTGATTCTGAATTTCCAAGTTTACACTGCCTTTATGACCAACCCTAGGAATATAAATGACAACTCTAGGAATATAAATCACAGCACGCTTGTTCCTTTCCTTTGTATAGTTTGCTCAGGAGCTCAAAAAATAGCAACGTTTCTAAACGATGTTTAATTATTATTTTCTTCCTGTAGATTATAACACAAGCGAACAAAAGCAAGCATGTAAGAAACACGAACTTTATGTGAGCTTCCGAGACTTAGGATGGCAGGTATGGTCATAAATGCTGTTTTCTATCAATTCAAATTGGGACAACCTATTTTACAGTCACTCATTATTTACAGTCTGTTTTCCTCATGGTAATTGATATTTCACTGATGAGAGACTAATTATTTGTATGCAAGTTGAAATTAATTCATCTCATTATTGCTTTACCTTTGGCTGCTGTTCTCTCAAAGATTTTAATGGCTTTAAACATTAATGGCTTTAAGATCTGGACTCATTCACATAAACATAAATCTGAACCACTATTCAAGATAGGAACAGATCTGCAGTAAATGAAACCAAAATCCCCACAGTGAGCAATGGCACTTTTGAAATTTGCACTTGAATTCTCCCTGCTTCAGTGCTGTTTACTGTAGGTCAGAGAGATTTCACTGCAGTAGGGTCTGCAGGGAACTAGATCTTGGATCACTGCTCAGTGATCTTTATAACACCATAGCTAAGTTTATATAATTTCTAGGAAAAACTCATCCTGCCATATTGTAACAAAAAAAAAAGAAGGTACTTGTAGTAAAAGATCATAAAGACAGAGGCAGGGCATTATAAGAAATTAAAACAGAGATCAGTCTAGGTCTTTTTTTCCAGAAAGCCTTGTTCTCTCTATGAAGAAAGAACAAGACCATCAGCAACCTATAATCTAGACATATTGTATACGTAGGTAAGAACTCAGAGACAGCTGGCTGTGCATTTCACATTTTCATATTTCTCTGAATTATTTTAAAACAATTAATTCTCCATGAACAGAACAAGTCTATGGGGAGAAAAAGTGTGATATCTCTTCAATGGCAGTTCTTCCCTTATGTACCTAGCTCAGATTCTCATCTGGCCTCATTACTCTGCCTGACTTTTTGTAGGATGTTTATTCTCAAGAACTAGGCAGAGACTGTTTTTCCAAGTCTGCAGAGCATAGTCACCCTGTCCATGGCCACAGAGCAAGCTTGTGGTATTGACTTGAACTCAAGCTACTGAACAAGTGAGCCACTGTCTTTCTGTAGATCACACATTTCTCCAGGTATCACCAGTTTTTTTATTTTTGAAACAGTAAATTCTGATATGCCCCAGATGTGCAAGGCTCTCAGGTCAGTCTTTCAAGGCGGCTATAGAGAAAACAAAAGCTATTTTTCTCACAGAAAAAAAATTGAAGAATTAGAAGTTTCATTTGGAAAGCCAGAGCTACACTGTACAATATTTGATCAGTGAAACTCAGGGTGAAATGAGATAAAAAGAAACAAAACCCAAGAAGCAGGTACTTGCTCCTCTCCGCCCTTACCACCTCTGTTACCTTTTCCTGGCAAAGGAAGAATTCAGCTAACTAAACACATAGGTTTCATTAACTTTTTAAAATATTTTCCCACTCGTGGCCTTTTCCCCATACTGTGTTGCTAGAAATACTCAAAATGCATGATTCAGTGACATTCCAATGGATAATCTCCAACAACCCTCAGTCTCATGCAATAATACAATTAATTTTAAGTATTGAGCATGCTGTAGAAAGAGGATGCATTTTAATTATTTTTGTTGCACCAAGAAGTGCTGAAGATTTTCTTTCTGGGATGAAAAGTATTCTTACAAACCTTGGACCTTTAATTTCCGTTATAACCCCATTAGTTGGTATGCAGTACAGATGTCTAAGTTTAATTTAATTTTAATCTGAGTTTTTCATGAACAAAGCAAATACTTCTCTTTTTTTTTGGCAAAAAAAGTAATTTAACATGCCACATTCTGAAGTTCATTTTGTCCTTGGACAAGTCTTAGTTAGCTTGATATAGTTTTAAATTCTCCAAGTGAGAAAAAAAAATTGAGTGGGTTTATTTGTTCTTGTTTTAGGATTGGATTATCGCACCGGAGGGCTACGCTGCGTTTTACTGTGATGGAGAGTGTTCTTTCCCCCTCAATGCCCACATGAATGCAACAAACCATGCCATTGTTCAGACTCTGGTATGCCTCTACCTATGTTGTAGTTGCCTGTTTTGCAGCTGCAAGTGTCTTGGGACTGGGGCTGTCTCTTCCTCTCTGTTTGCTACTGTTGGATCTTGATTGTTTCTGTGTAAATGACAACCCATTTCAAAGACATGCTTTGACGATTATGCTGGAGAGAGGATGAACTGTACAGAGTAGCCTGCATGGTAGGTTTCCCTTCCATTTCAAATGCAGGAACATATGAGAAGACTGTGTCATATTACTGGAGAATTGTGTAGACAGGAACCAAAGGGGCCCCCTGGTCCCACTTCCAAGAGTTTTTTGCAGCTTATTGAAGCTCCATGTTAACGTCTACATGCTGTACCTTCCAGAACTGTTGACGCTTGGCCACTCTGTGGACCTTTGTTGTCAACTGTTGGCGGAGATCCTTAAACAGTAATTTAATGTGAAGCTTTGCAAGCAGACGCATTTGCATGTAAGAAATTGTGTTCAGTCATGCCTGGCTAACAAATGCAATTTTAAAATAAGTGGGTTTGGATCTGTTGCTCTGTCTGGTCCATGTAAAAGGGGATTTGCAGCCAGCTTTCTGCCTCTGCTAGTTCTTATGTTAGACCTGTGCATCAACTGGAGCAGCCAAAATGATGAACTTGGTTGAAGCACTTGGCTAGGCCTCCTCTACCCCAGCAGCGTTCAGCTATGTTTCAGAAAATACAGCACCTACAGAAATCAAGAACTTTAAACTATGCCTAAATGTAATGCTGTGAGTCCCAAGTCTGGTCATGGGTCTTTCACCTGTGCCAGCTGAAGAACTGGCTCTGAACAGCATCAGTACTAGCAGAATGATTAAGAAGCAGAAGAATGAGAGATAATACATGAGGGGGGGGGAGTGGGAGTACAAAATCAGAACAGGAAAGGGTTGCCATCCCTTATTAGTTTCTGGAAAGGTCAAGGCATTCTACTGCAACTAGAAAAATACAGTTTTAAGGCTCGCTCTGTGATGACAGAAAAGTATCCTGACGACCGGACTATGCTGATGAGTCTGTCCATGGACAGTGATCTTTTTCTTTGATTTGTACATAAAAACCCAGGGCCTGAAGAACTTTTCCCCCTTCAGAAATGAGTGCAGCTACCACCCTCCTGGGGGCTGGGGGGGGACCAAAACCAAAATCTGACACTAGAAAAACCCCACAAACAAACAAACAAAGAATTTTGGTTTCTTTCTGACAGAAAACAAATTCTGCTTGTGAAATTGAAAAGTACTTCTACAGGAGAGTGACATTTTTTAAAACCTCAGCTTGTGCTGAGACCTTTTCCTTTCCATTCAGCTTTTCATTTATGCACCTTCTACAAGTCCAGCCACCAATGCAACATTATTCCTCTATACCAGAACTCAAGTCAGCAAGACTCACAAAAAGAGGGAAAAAGTTAGAGGCGGGAAATAAACAGAAGAATTGTGGTAAGGGGTTCAGATGAAGGGGAACAGCAAATGCTACTTGGCAAGGGGTATAGCAATGTACCTAAGAGATGATGAAGAACAGCATATATGCAGTCCTGAGCTGAAACAAAATAGGTCAGCAAAGCAATAGCTTAACATTATGCAAACATTGTCGAGAAATTTGCCAATATCAGTGAGATCCCCAGGTTAGAGTTCCCTTCTGCAATTATGGACTGTTAAATAAGCAGTGGCCCAGTGCTACTTTCTCTCATGCACTTATCCTTTCCAAAAATGGTTAATTTCCCATGATTCAGAAATTTGTGGTTTGTCCTATTTTTAAATTTGGATACTTGAATTTTCCCTCCTTTTTATGGCCTTTTTGGAATTGTATGTCTCCCTCTGCATGTACCGTACATGCATTCAGTTGTGCAGCCAAAAAATCATGAGGCTAATTAAATTTTAACTGCACATAAATTAGATGAGATAACAGTAGTTGAATGCTTTCTGGTTTAAATTATACAAAATTCAGATTTACACAAGGTGTGCACATGGGGATGGCTTGGGAAACAGTTATTCATATACCCCACCCTAATCGAAATGTAATCATCTCCCAACCATACTGATTACACCATTCTAAAAAAGCCCACTCTTTGGGCTGGGAAGTGATTGTTCCTTGGTACCCCTCCAAGCTTTACTGACTCTTTTTTTTTTTTTTTTTTCTTTTGTAATAAGAATAGGAGAAATGCTAGGCCAGTACCTTTCCCTCTCTTCTTTTTCTGAGACTTAACTTAGGCAGACAGATGATACAAATGTACATAAATACGAGACAGACAGAATTTAATGAGTTATATGAGCTTTCTTCTCCTCTCTCACTTCCCATCACCCTCTGAACAGGCATCGGAGTAGCATTGACCTCCTGGTCAATGGTGGATCAGCAGGTTGACTCACAATGACTTCCAGGCTCACTCTTGAAAAGGCTGTGAGCATTGCTGTCATGCAGGACCAGCAGGGCCATGGAGCTCTCAGATGGGGTGGCAGGGGCTGGTGGGACCAGGAGTTATGGCAGGGCAAACATCTGCCCAAATGAGGTACAATCCTCCTTTGCTCCAGTGCTTTGCTATTCATTTGTTAAACAGTTTTTAAATGTGTGTCTGAACCCTTACTAAACTGCTACTTCAGGATTTATTATTGCTCATTTCAAAAGACCTTCTCATGGTAACAGTTATGTAAAAATCGTTTCCTGATAGATTGCTCTCTCTTGTCTGGCAAAGGCTCTGGGCTTATATCACTGCAAGACAGATGGCTCTAACAGATTTACAAAGACTTAACATACAAATGAAACCTATTACTGCTGAAGTCTTCATCCATGCCTTAATAATCTTTTGCCCTCTTTATTACAACTCCCTCTTCTCTGGCCTCCCCAGTTTCCAAGTTTTCGGCATGTGTAGAATACTACATCCAACCTTCTTTCAAGTACAAAGAACTTGTATTTCCCCCATTTTCAGATATTTCCACTAGATCTTGTTCATTCTGGGATACTGTTCAAAAAACTCTTTTCCTTCTCTTTAACTTTCATTGATATATTTCAGCCTAGTGTACATAAAGCCTTTGCTACCTCAACCCTTTCCCCAAACATTCTGTCCAGCTGGCACCCACCATATGAACCGATTTTCACTCCAGTGGAAGTAGAATTGGATTCATGGATACCTAGACAGGACCTTAAAATGCACTTATGCTGTCTGAGAACCCACATTTTACCATTTCATAGGATGAAAACAGTTTCAGCGTGAGCCTTTGCCTGCACAGCCAATGCTCTCTGTAACAGACTTTCCTCCACACTGAGATCCTGACAAAGGAAAACATTTTAGTGCCTACTGGGGTCCCTGTCAGACCTGGGACTTGAGCCTGTGCTTCATGTTAAGCACTGTCCTCAACAGAGGTGGTACTGACAATATGTTTAAGTGCTTTCCTGAGCAGCTGCCCAACTCCAACTCTTTTATAAATTTCATCTGAAAACCAACTTTCTGTCTTGGCTGCTCCTCCTCATTTATATTTCCATCTGCTATTACTGTATAACTCTGCCCGTGCAATTGAAATCAGAGCAATGTTCTGGAGATAAGCTGTGGGTTAAAGTTGCTAACTGGGGAAAATCTGCGGCCGCAGAACTCTGAATTACAAAGTCATGTTTTGCACTGATGTTGTCCTTGCACCTCACCATTTGATATATGAGCTATGGATTTATCTGTCTTTCAGGTTCATTTGATGTTCCCTGATCATGTACCAAAGCCATGCTGTGCACCAACAAAACTGAATGCAATCTCCGTGCTCTACTTTGACGACAGTTCCAACGTTATTTTAAAAAAATACAGGAATATGGTGGTGCGTTCATGTGGCTGCCACTAGAATGAAAAAAAATAATCTAAAGCAGAGGGGTTTATTCAGAATTGTAATAAAGTCAAGATATGAGTCTTGCTGAGGAAAAAGCAGTCCTAAATTTATTCCATTTCATGTCATCTCTCATTTAAATGTACAGCATAATGTATATAGTAGCTTTTATTTATTTAAAAGTATATAGTTTCTTTTGTATGAGCAAAATTTCAAAACCATTTATTTTATGAGTCACCTTACTGTGCAGTAGAACTTCACAAACTAATTTTTCAATTGACCATACTGGAATCTATTTCATTCCATTTCAATATTTTAGAGTAAAGCCTTCATACAGATTTTTTTTTTAAAGCTAGAAACTCCAGAACTTCTGTAACTGCTGCATATTGTTAAAGCAATTAAAATACATTTGGTTATATTGTGCCAATGAAAACTGTGGCTGGGTATTTATTTAGAAAAAGGCACAGAAAAAAAAACTAAACAAAACTGCTTGGCTAAACATATTTTTTCTTTTAGAAGTTCTGCTCCTTTAGAAAAAGTGAAATGTTGAACAGTGTTTAAGTAAATAAATAGTACATAGAAAATAGAAGTGAAAAGATTGCACATAATTGTTATAACTGTTTTTTTTTTTTAGCAAGATGTGTGTAACTGGAGGAGTATGTGACTTCTTGGCTTGTGGGCTGCAGAGTTAGCAAAAGGCTCAAAGCTTTGGGAATTCTGTGGAGACAGACTCTCACCTCTATCTATGACTTTCCAAGTTAACACTAAAAATTGAACTACAACATTCTTACCTCAAATCACATCAGTCTATTATCCATTACACTGCTCTGGCAAATATTTTTACAATAACAGCACAAGGCAAAATCAAACAAAAAACTTCCCTTAGCCTTCCCATTATAAACACAAGTTCCTATATACACAAAATATACAGAAGACAGGGTATGGAAGGGTTTTGCTCTACTTAGCTCCCACTTTTGGACGTGTTTTCTGAGTGTGAGAGGGAAGGCACAGGGGATGCAGCAGTTGTCACCTGTTTAATAGAAAATCCTGTACCTGATGGTGGCTGTTTTCAGGCAAAGATGAAAACCAACTTTCATAACGATCCATTGGGTAATTTGCAGCCTATTTTCTGTCCCATCTGCTTCTCTGCCAGGTGGAAATTAGTTTAAATCATGAGATGTAAGATGGGATATCTTTCATTTTTTTTTTTTTTAGCATTAACTATCGTAACTTTGAAAATTCTTAAATCTGTAAAAATAACTTCTAATCTCCCAATAATTTTTGGCCTCAGATGAAATTCTGTGGTTGTGAATTGCACAACTAATTACAGATTATCATTCTCACCACCATTGCCCATATGTTTATTTTGAATTTACCACATCTAATATCTTTAGACACCCCCTTGTTTTAGTGTTATGGAAATGGGAAATAGAAACTCTGTTTTCTCTTTACTACATGGCTAATTATAATATATGTTTTCATCATGAATTGCCTTGATTAAAAATGCTTCATTTAAACAGTTCTCAGAGTGTTGTTAAAAAATGAATAGGACACATCAGTTTCTCCTTAGACAGTATACTAATGTAAACTCTGACTTCTCTGGTTATTTAAAGCATATTTCAGAAAACTCAGATTATCGCAGACTGATAAAATCAGCGTGTGCATGTGACTGTGTGTATGCATGTGAATGTGCAACTGTCTTTTTGCAGAAACTAATTTATTTTATCTTGCTGTTGGAGTAATATACAAATCCTTTTTATGCATACACTCATCTGTTTGGTTTTTTTTTTTTTTAATTAACAGTTCTGATTTCAGTTTTGGGAGCTCTTTCCTCTTAATACAACAGTTCTATTTTACACATCCATCTCTATTTTATTCCAACATGACCTACATATCTACGTTCATGCAAAAGGGTGTATAGCAAAATACAATGTCTCCAACTGAATTAGCATTTTGGAATAGTTAAATTCCTGTGTTGTCTTCAAAAATTTACTGGTTTCTGTGTAAATTGGGTAAGTGGATATGTTTTTTTGAACTCAATTTATTCTAAATAGAATTTGATGGAAACCAAATTTTGGGTACATTAAGTAATATATTTTTTAAATAATGGTGTACCATTTTGAGAATAAGAAACTGAAGATTATTGTTATATTATTCTTTAAGATATGCTGTTGGAATATATTTCTATATTTTGAGACATAATAAACCTGTAATGCTATTTTCTTCTGCTGTGATTTTGTTTCTGAGACACATGACAAAAATGACACTGGCTTCATATATTCTTTTAAGTGTAAAAGCAAGAGATCACCAATGGTTATGAATAGGTTTCATTGCAGTTCATTTTTTAATACAGACATTTTGTAGAGTTACTTTTATTTTATTATTTCTTAAGTTGCAGCTGGTGAACTATCTACATTATTAGTAAAAATCATACCTGCAAATGTTAATACTTGACTCAAAATATACTAGAAAGTAGAAAGAATTTTTTAAAATCTCCATAAAACCCTAACTGGTCATTCCTCTGCTTGAAAGGAAGGATAGCAGCAACAAACCCTCTGCATGCTCTGGATAAGTGTACATAGGTGTGTTTTAATGTAAAATAATGTGCATGTAATTGTATTAAACTACATTAAGTATATACCCATATGTGTAGCTATATCTATTTCTATAGTTATGAAGACCATTCCATTAACGTTTAGGATGTGAGAGCTTTGTTCTTTTCAAAGTTGTTTAACCTTTCTGCATCTATAACTGGAAAGTCTAAAGGGCTAAAAACCAGAAAAACAGAAGCAGCTCTGTGCAGAATTAGTGTTACATTATGGGTCAGAGCTTCTTAGTCTTTAACTTACTCATAATGTTGACACCATTGCTACACATGCTGGGCCAAAACTAAAAGTTTACAGGACGTTACTAGTGATGACTTCTATGGCTTAGGAATATTCACCCAGTAGAAGTCAGGTTTAAGAGCTGAATAGTATTGCACAATACTGGCACATTTAGAGATGAGGATGTCATGCAGGACAGGGTCAAATGTTTTGCACAAGTCCAGGTAGATGATGTCAGTTGCTCTTCCCTTATCTACCAATGCTGTGACCCTGTCACAGAAGGCCACCACATTTATCAGGCACAATTTGCCTTTAGTGAAGCCATGTTGGCTGTCACCAATCACCTCCTTGTTTTCCATGTGCCTTAGCATAGTTTCCAGGAGTATCTGCTCCATGACCTTGCTGGCCACAGAGCTGGCCTGTAGTTTCCTGGGTCTTCCTTTTTTCCCTTTTTGAAAATGGGGGTTATGCTTCCCCTTTTCCAGAAAGCGGGAACTTCACCAGACTGCCACAACTTCTCAGATATGATGGAGTCAAATATGATAGGAGTCAAATGTCAGACAACTTGGGGCCTCATTTTATTAAATGCTATATACATGAGTGCTGTGAGTTACATCTTTACTGTAGACACTGGAACTGAGACTTTCTTTAGGGACAACATAGAGAAATTGCACATTTGGATTGCAATTCACCTATTTCTCTCCAAAAACTATGAAGTGGGTTTAGGACAATGGCCGTGCTACAGACCTTGTCTGAGCAGCTGTAGCAAATTACACCCTGATATCTTCAAAATAATGTTATGTTATTGAAAAAGTTTAAATGGGATGTTTAATTGGGATATGGAGCTTTAAGAAATCTTTCGTTATCATGACGGGATGTCAAAAAATTCCATTTTGAAATTAATTTTCTCTACCATTTCCTTGGAAAAGGCTGCATTGCTGATTGCATATTTAATCTGCTCTATTTTTTTGGTCAGCTCCTCTTTTGAAACAGTTTTATATTAAATAGACTTTGACGCAAAGATGGTTAAAAAAAAGGGTTTAGGCTTGTACTCATAAGATTCTGAATTGTTTCAGCAATAACCAAAAGATTTGAATCAACAGGACTTTTAAAATTATGTTCTTTGCAATCTCTACCAGCTCTTCTGCTCACATATTCAGCTGTGCATAGGGAGATTCTGACATGTGGTGGCTGAATGACGAACAAGCCACATGTGAATTATACAGCATTATCTCTTACTATCTTGTCTGCAGTCACAGAACTTGCAAACTGTGATTTACAGTGTGTTACTGAATTCTTACCCGCATGGCTTGAGCAAGAGTTTGATTAAAAACAAAAGAAAACTAAACTAAAAATCCAACAAAAAACAGCAAGAGGAGGTTTTCTTGCCATCTTAATTCAAATAAATCAGTGCCAAACGTGGTACATGAGGGATCAGGAATCTCATGTGATTTACATGGGCCTTTTGTATTCTGTTTTCCATATTTACAACGCATGACACAGAGACCTCTCCTGACTGCTATATTTCCAGATAAATACTTTCTGTTCTGTTCCCGGACTTTTTTTTGCTTCCAGATGGGTACCATCAATTATTATTATTAATATGAATGAAGATATTTTCATTGCTTTAGCAGATGTTAATGCTGTACAAAAGAAGCATGTGTTATTCGTATTGCTACTTTACAGGTACAGAAAGGTGGACAGACTTGCCTAAGACAAGAGCAGATGAGAGGCAGTACAGGGGAGATAACCAGATCTCCAGTGTCCCAGTGCTCTAGCCCCTATCCCACACTATTGGTGGAGTGATACATACACTTGACATTCCTGTCCCTGCAGCTCATAACTTCAACGAATGATGGGCAATCTTAGGGGTTACCCAGACCCATACCTTGCATTTACCAAGTACTTTTCTAGTTTCATGATTGTTTGTGGAAATCTAGGCAGTGACTGATAAAACTGAGGCATGTTCAGGGTGCAGACTCCACGTTTCACATGAGGGGGTGGTTATATTTTAAAGCTACTTCTGCGGAGCCCACCAGGATGTGCTTGCACCAGATCTTGGAGCACCTTTTCAACAGCCTTGTAAATTTGCACCAGTAGAGTTGAAGGTAGTGGCGCATCTCTCCCTTTTCTTCCTTACATTTTCCTCCTGCTCAGTGGAAAGTTCAGCAATTTGTTAGGACTGAGACTGTTTTAATATTTGTGTAGCAGGGGATCTCAGGGCAAATGTTGGCTAGAGATATGGGAGCAACATATTTGCTAGGGAACAACTCTCTCAGAGACTAATATTGAAGTAGAGATGTGGGAGCAGGATTTTCTCTGTATAACTTCCACTCATCTCTTCCGGATCTCCAGCTGACTTGTGAGCAGAAACATTTGTAAAGATGAGAAACCTCTTTAATTAAATTGTGAGGAGAAAACTTGGAGGAGGCTCTTTCTGGCATCTTTGCCCCTCATAAGTTCTTCCATAAAGGAGAAATCCAGGCTCAAACACAAAGGTATTCAACTGCAGAGACCAAAAGTTGGAGAAGATGTGGTGGAGAAACATGGCACATATATCAAACTCCCTAAACTGATCTAATTGGAAAACAAAGCCGTTCATGCCTGATTATCCTCTCGGTTGCTGAGCTGTCTCATATTAACTTGCCACAAGATAGTGTGTTCCTTT